AAAAGGAACTGTGTCAGAAGAAAGAGAATAACCCACATTTAAAACATATTGAAATAGCGAACGAGTATGGCATTGGAAAATCTACTGTTAGTGAAATTTTGAAAGCAAAAGACAGGTGGTTGGACGATGCACTTTTACAATTACGTTAGTTTTGCATAAAAATTTGTGTACATAATAAATAAAATAAACGAATTTTATTGGATATTTAAACCGATTAAATCACGTGAACAATTCGGAATAACGAAGATTTCAGATTAACGAAAGAAATTCTGCGGAACGGATGACTTCGTTAAAGTGAATGTCACTGCGTAATTTGAATGTGCGTTTGATTATTAGCTATTGACGCATTAACAATAAATATTAAGACTACATTTCTTTCCAAGTGCATTCGTCACTCCTCGAAATTTACTGACTATGACGCAAAGGTTTGTTTTTACGAAAACAAAAATTATACCACATACAGTACTTATGTTATGAAAATACATACTTCTGTGGATTACAGTAACTAATTCAAATTTACAATGTTTTCCCCGAAATATACACACAAAAATTTATGGCAAACTCACGTAGAGTGAACTTCATATAATAATAAAGGTTTTACTAGTAGTGACCAATTCTCTTGCTTATGCGCCATTGACTACTAATTTACAAAGAAAAAAAACAAATTAATATTAGTATTTAATTAAAAAGCACGTTCTTTAGTATTCATATCAGGCGAACTGAGATATCCTTTGGTGAGTTTTTCAATATTAATATATCAATATGTTAATGTGTACTGTAGAAGGTAACCAATCGAATATTGAGATCCGTCTAATAAGCTGACACTTCATTTTTAATAATTACATTCCAGAGTCACGTATTAGTGTTTATTCATTATAATTGGCTTGTTTAAAATAGGTTTCCGCAGTCAACGTTCTTTATTTCATGGTTATTTTTGGTGTGCCGCATTCTCTTGGTGTCACATGATTGTGTGATATAAATTTAAAATATGGAACACAGTGAATGGTTTACGTCATGATTGTTAATATTGTAAAGGCATCCCGAAGTCCACGTAATATTGGAATATAATGATTACGCAACTGCGGTTCGTCAAGACTTATAACGCCAAGTCGCACGTATACTTCTCTTTGGCGAAGCCTTTTCTGTTCCTTGACTATACAAGTTCTTATAACTAGTACTTGCCAATTACATTCATCTCTCCTTTTTTTTATCTTGTAATATATTCGTTTTATACTCCCTTTATTATATCCGAGCCTCTCACAGCCATGTCAACTGTTAGTAATAGAATAGTTCTCAAAGCGTCTTTGCAAACGGGAAACGGAACTGTCTCCCGACGTATACCAGTCAGATATACGCCAGACCTTACTTTCGACGAGGTCTACTCGTTGGTATGTATATAATGTAAACATGTCTGATTCAGAGACTGTTCCTACATGCTTGGGAAGCAACACCTACCTAACCGTGACCATTTGTTCTTATACTGAAGTTGTCACAAGTGTATGAAATCGAACACTTTGCCATATATCATACTGATGAGAACGACCACAGGATACATATTAAGAGCGACGGAGAATTACGAGACGTTATCGCCCGTTTGAAGGAAACAAATGGCGCAGAAAATAAATTAGTCATAAAACTTCAGTTGGAAAAAATATTGAAAACGGAACCAGTTAGCTCAGTTGCTAATAATACGCCCGGTACCTATTTTATTCCATCATTTCTTTCGCTCCTTACATACGAAATCGATCACTGTGGTTTTATCTGACTATAATACTAATTTTTCAGTAGACCCGGTACTTACGCCTGACTCGTATTCCAACCCGTTTGACGATACAGCCTCAAATTTTGATTGTGATGTAGACGGTGATAATCCGATTGAACGTGCAATAAATAATGTCATGAAGAACGTTCAAGACATCTTTCAGAATATCGTTCAGCCGGCTCGTGAGTTTTCTGACAACTCAACGTCAGAACATCAACAAGCAGATGACGCCACTGCCTCTTCAGAATCTGAATTCCCACAGAATTCGTCTACATCCTCAATACCATCTTCTTCATCGAAAACAGAGACGCAGGAAGTCGCTCAACCCCCTCCATATTTCTCGGTACCTTTTCGAATGTCACGACCTCCTCGGTATTCTGTGACAGTAGCCGTTCATCATGGTGTTAAATGTGATGTGTGCAACGAGACGATTCGCGGTATGCGTTGGAAGTGTAAAAATTGCCGAGACTATGACTTGTGTCAACAATGTAAATCAAACCCACCAAGCGTGGGTTTTCATCCGGCTACCCACGAGTTCCAATCTATCCCATATCCTCTCCATAATAAGAAGCGAACAACAAAAAATGTCAATATGCACTCGGCTATTTGTGATTTCTGTGAATCGGTTATCCTCGGAACAAGGCACAAATGTATAAATTGTCCTGATTTTGACTTGTGCAGTAATTGTATTGGTGAGTAGCCTACGCGTCGTAATTTGACGATTTGATGCTGTGTTGTAGATGATAAGAATCGTTAGTAACGCCAATTATTATTTCGAATAGCACTTGCTTCAACACAGCACCCGAACCACACCTTTATGCAAATTCAACGGCCTGGTGAGCCAGAAATAAAAATCTTAGGTAATTTCACCTTCACAATTTTGTTTACCGTTATTTGCGTTGATCTGTAAATCTATTGCTTATTTTTCTCCTGCATAAAATTTTTGTCTTCATAGATTCTGCACATCACCCGGGAATCAAGTGCGATCACTGCAATAAACAGATCACAGGATTGAGATACAAGGTTGGGCGTTTTTCGATATACACTTTAAATTAATGCATGATGCCAATCATCTGTCTATTTAAACTGCAGTGCGGTAATTGCTCCGATTTTGACCTCTGCGGAAACTGTGAAGCCTCTCCTTTAAATAAGCATGATGAAACTCATGTATTCCTTAAAATACGACGACCTACACCAAACCCCATCATATCGCATGAGCCCTTGTTACCAAACCTCTACGCAGTTCAAGAACCAATATCTCACAAAGGACGTTACCCCCGCTGTTATTACCAAAAATCTTCGTTCTCTTGTAACGTCTCTCTAGCGTCTTCTCAGATAAATCAACCAGCAGCGAATCTGACAAACAAGAATGAGCCAGTTCTACCTAATTCGACAGCATCATCTGTCAAAAGGTTAGTAATAATCCTAGATGATGATGATTACACTTGTCCTAGCGAATAATATTCTGATATTTGATCTTACTTTTAGCGGATCCAGCACGAGTAAAGCACCGATAGCCTTGTATAACACTAAGGAAACGCATTACAATCCAATCGAACCATTATGGAAAGCAAGTGTCCCAGGGTCGTCGGGCTCGGATAACCAATCCAGTGAGCAAGAAGTACGAGAACCATCATCAGTATCTTACGATGCTGTTTTCTTGGGAGACGTAAACGTGCCTGACCAAACAGTCATGGTGCCTCAAGCCCAATTCGTGAAAATTTGGCGCGTGCAAAATAATGGTACGCTTGCATGGCCGGAATCGACGGTATTGCAATACGCTGACGGAAGTAGAATGTTCAATGAATCGCTCAAAGCTGGTGACGACAAATTCAGACCAAAGTTCCACGTGGGTTCTGTTGAGCCTGGTCAGACTTGTGAAGTTTCTGCTGACTTGCAAGCGCCTGCAGAGATAGGAAAACATGTCTCGTAAGCTAGTTTTCTTTTTTTCTCAGCATATTGGAATTAGAGTTCTTTTGCGCTTTTTTTTTGCACGAACAGTATATGGATTTCTGACTTATGAATTGAACCTGTTTATTATAACACTTGCTAACTGTTTAGTTATTGGCGCCTAGTGGATGGTGAGGGTAATCGTTTTGGCTATCGTCTTTGGTGTGAAATCTTTGTCGAAGCGATCGATCAATATTCTAGTCTCTCCAGCTCTTCAATGATATTCCCAGTCCTCGGCAACCCAGTTCTCGGCAACCCAGTCTCCGAGACATCTAGTCTACAGTCTTCCATGACATCGATTGATTCTGGACTTCGTACGTCTGATGTTGAGCACACGGAGGTCGAACATTTTGATGACGACGAAGAAGATGTAGAGGATGACGATCTATTCCATGGTCCTGAAATTGATATATCACCCGCAGCTGGTCAGGACTCCGACGCCGATTCAACAGAGATAGAATCGCAAGGTGACTTTGATAGCGAGAGTGTCAAGTATTCACGCTCATTTTTAATTTCAAAGACGGTATGGCCATCCGACGTTGAGGAGGAGGAAGAGGAGGAAGAGGAAGAGGAAGAAGAAGATGATGAGGAAGAGGAGGAGGATTCTGACTTCGTTTTGGTTGACGACGAAGAGATGGAGGGGAGTTCCCGGGCGTTGAGGCAAGTTGCTAACAGAGATCAGGACAATGCAACACATGATGAGGTGAGTCGTTAGATCGGATATATGTGGCCATTTAATATTGCAGTCAGTTTCTGAAACCGGTGATGTTTAATTTAAAATTTGGAACAGAACGCGGAGTATGCCAACGAATTGAGAAAGCTTAAAGAGCTGGTATAGTAGAAATCAATAACAACTGCTTTAACCAATTTTTATTGAGGTTTAATCACGAATAATGTGGCTATAGGGTTTCACGGACCGAGAAAAAAATATCAGATTACTGAAGGTTCATAACGGGGATCTAAAGCAAGTGAAAGAATTACTGTTTCTTCAATGAACAACATATCATACAAAATTTGTTGGCGATTCATCCATCTTCTGGCACCGTCTGTAATGAATAAATTATTTTAAATCTTTTCCGTTTTCTTGTATTGTTTTTTCCAACTAAATAAAGATATTAAACTTTCATCTATCAATTGGACTTGTTCATCGAGTAAAGTTGGGTTTCTCTCAGTATAGTCTAACTATATCAGCATTCGCATATTGTTTTCGCACGGGGAGACGTGAAAGAATCTAGACAGAAATTGAGTGTCAGAGAATCGCAATTTTGTGCACTGCCGACAATAATGATAAAGCATTTCTGCTGTTTCAATTCACGAAAATAAGCAGTTACATCATTTCTCACAATGATATGTACGATCTTATGACATTATAATCCTTACTTTGAACTGTGATACTTATCTCTAAACCTAACCATCTCTGGAAGACAAATTTAACCATTCAGCCGACCTTTGTGCGGAAGAATATTCATACGTGTTTGACGCTTATTATTATGTACAATAGCTCAATTGTGCATCATTATTATTATAATTACTAAAACTATGATGTTACAGTCAAAGCAACAAAGACCCCTACCAATGAAATTGAGCCACTCGCTGATTTTAGGGGAATTGGGGAATCCCAAGCATTTTTTTTGTGCGTGGGATATCAGTGTACTTATTTGGTTAGCTAAATGATTAAATGTTTTTTTATAATAACGAGAATGTTTGCAAATGAAAATCTTACATCTTTTCAAGTTGGTAAACAACGTCAAGTAGAATGTCTCCGGAGGATGTAACCACCGAAGACTCGTTTGAAACCGACCAAAATTATCTTGGAGATTGCGAGAGAGATCCTCTTCTTGGTGGTCATGCTCCTCCGAAAAAAAAGTTTAGACTAAAGACTATAGCCCGAGCTCTTCTTTTGACATTATTTGTCGCATTCGTAATAGTCCTAGTAGCGGTGAGTGTAATGGCCTGTTAGAAAGTACTATCAGTGTACTACAAAATGAAAAATGAGTAACGAATGGAATTACATATAGGTTTTCCACATACAAGATCACATAAAAGACGTTCTCAAATATATTGAACAACACAAAGAGTATGGTATATTGGTATATCTTGCGGTTTATGTAGCGTGCACATGGTTGTTCTTGCCAGGGTGAGTACCTAAACATGAGCGGGTGTCTTTGGTTGGCGTATCACTTATAGATCATTGGGTTAAAAAGTTTGACTCTAACCTCTGCTGACTTACTGCGCGCGTATCAATGATTACCAATATTTTAATCAGCTCTGTCATGAGTATAGCTGCCGGGTTCTTGTTCAAGCCTGCTCCTCTGGCAGCAGGCATTATCATACTCGGGGATATAATCAGTGCACTTGGTACTTTTCTCTTTGGGAGATACATTTTTTCGGACTGGGTGCGTGCGCAAGTCGCAAAGAGACCCGTATTTAATGCATTGAATTATGTGATTGCGGATGAAGGTAATATTTTTTGTTTTAAATAATGAGCAAACTCATAATTATTTGTTGCCAATCCATTTTTCAATTCATTTTTTACTCATTAAAACGAAGCCATTACATTTCGCATTAATTGATTCGCAATTCTTGGTTTCATTAGGCTGGAAGATTGTTGTTATGCTCAGGTTGACACCGATTCCGTTTAATATAATTAGTTATTTCTTCTCTGTGAGTTCGATTGACGTAAGTACGAGGTGAAGTAGTTAATTATAGAATTGCTTAGCAACATGGTCAAGGGACTCGGTACTGAAATCAATGTTTGTTTTTTTTTTTAAAAGCTTTTCTCCTTTTTGTGGGCCACCGCTCTCGGCGTGTTGCCAGGAACTTTTAATGCTGTATGGATTGGGACGCTTGTCAAGAACTTGAGTGGGATTGATAAACCAAAGTTACAGAGACAAGGTCGGTGTAGATGATAGACATATTTATTCGGTTTTTTTTCAATTCATCGCATATTTATACGTACAATTGACTGTATTATTAGATATCGTGATTATTGCTATGAATTTCATTCTCGCTAGTTGTGGTGTAATAGCATTGTCTATGATTGGTAAACGTTCCATGAGGAGAGCAATGGCTATGCTAGAAGCCTCCAAAGAGCTTCAGCCGGGGACGAACGAAGATGCTGTTGTTGACATTGAACCTCCTGGTAAGAATATGTTTGGCATATGGATTGTGCAACTAGAACAGACATGTTGATAACGGGTATTATCAACCGTGACGATTGTTATCAACTAATCTGTTGGCTTGAATATAACATACCTTTGTCTAACCATAAAAATAAATACTTACTACTGCGCTTTGTTTTAAATAGTTGAAGAAGACTCGCGGCCGGTTAGACAAAGGGGATTTACTAAAACTGAAAAGATTATATTTTACCTCATTATTGCTACTGCGATACTAGATGTTCTTATATGCATTCCATTGTATATTTATTTTAAATCAATGTCTACCAAACATTGAATTAGACTTGTTTAAGGTTATTGTTGATTATATGTATTATAGCTTCTTTCTGTTTACCAATGGGCTTTATATATTATGGTAATAGATTATATTACAATAACGTTCTCGGTGTGCATGCAGTATATTTAATCGAATTGTCAAGAATGTTCTCTAATGGTTTGCTTGATGCTGAGGTCTTGAGTTTTTAGAAAATATCAGCGTTGTGAACTGGAAGAAGGCGAAGCATTGGGGGCGAATTTCCCTACTTTTAGCAATAAGGATTGTTATCAATGATTTCTGACTTGCTTGTTGAAATTCCTGACTCTCCACCGATAGGTTTTGACAAGACTAATATATTATCTAACTTGACTTTGAAACGCTTCCCGATCGTTAAGTTATCCGAGTGCCCGGAATAAGCATTCGATCTGCTATCTGTATAGTAAAATAAGAGGGAAATCGAGGCGTGTAATCCGGTACAATTCCGGGCATTCAATGCAACACAGTTGTTCGCATGCATAACTTCCGAACGCACCTCTTGTGGCAATGAGGGGATTAATATATAGCTGTAAAATCTATTGCTCACAATGGTTTCAGTTCACATGGTTTTCACTGCCGCAATCTTTAGTGGAAGATTCGTGAAGAAAGTTTATGAAATGGATAAAACGTTTAGAACTTCATTCACCGAGCGAAAACGTTGGTTAATATTGAAAATTGGCAACACGACAAGTTTTAATACCTAAAGTTTAAACATCTGCCTGGCCGGAAATTAGTAAAAAAATCCAAAGTTCAAAGCGAAGATATCAACTTCAAAATATGACGCTAACCGGAATATTAACTGTTGAAATATTTGCAAAAATGATGAATTATGAATTATGACGTATCCACAATCGAGTGTCATCGAATCGACTCTCTTAAAATGTTATAAAATCTGCTTACCCTACAATACGTATTCCAAAATTTTCCTTTCATCATCGACACTCTCCTCACGATCATCAAAAGTAGAAAAATAACTTCAAAAGAGGATGATCAAACGCGCCTCGAAATTCGTGCAGACATGGTGCCAAGATGGAAAGGATAACTATATGGTCTGATGGTTATGTACGATTGGTTGAATTGGTGAGCAACAGAACAGAGCAGTAAACACCGTAGTTATTATTTATATGTGAAAACAAATAACTAAACTAAAGCAAAGATCGATTCAAGAATGGAACTACGCCAATTTGAGTCAATTTCATTACGAAAGATTGGTTTAACCTTATCAAGGAGGTCAATAATGATACAGGGAAGGCCATATGATGGATACAAATAAAGCAAGGGCAATCTTTCGAGGTATTATTACGGTTTGGTAATTTTGCTGCTTGTTTGTTTGTTAATTCTTTTGTTTGTTTTTCTCCCTGTATTTAAGTAATAAATGAGTACATTACTTGTCTCGAGGTTAAAGACTTGGAACTTGAAAGGATTACGGATCCGGCGCAGATTTCAACCATATTTTATGAACCCTCTCGAGTAACTGGCAGAACATAAGCAGAGTATTATTCACGAAATTTTATTACGCGCTATAACAACATTTGTAACATTTTTACAATATAATAATTCTTTTTTAGAATCAAAGGGCTGTTTGAGAATGGATCGTAACCATATTCACTTTGATGGAGCTGGAAATGCCGTAAGAAGTAAGTTACCCATCAATTGTTATTGTTGACCAGATCTTTGGTTTAGAGAGAAATATCTAAAACGTTGATTAATAACAGGGATCGAACAGACTCTGGTATATTTATTTACACTAATATCCATAAGAACATTGCCGCTCTGTATAACAGTTTCGATATTCCATTCATTCAGATCTAATTGACATATGCCATCAAACAGACGGGATAGAATTCTACAAGCCAGCCAATAATGTAATCCTCACAACTGGCAGAGGCGACGTTCTGAATCCTAGGTTTTTCCTAAAAGTTGTCGATAAAACAGGCAGAAATCTTGTACCCAGCCGAGCCTCGAAACGATGAAAATTCCGACACAGCGTAGTGGATAAGAATTATTATTGCGCTAGTTCGTTTCGGTCGCAACAAATTGGGCTACAGAATCGATCTTTTTAATGCTTAAGTATAGAATTATTTTTTTTTCAATCTGGAGATTGGCTCATCTCTATGACCTTTTGGTTTTGATGATTCAAAGTTTATGATCGATAATATTTTCTATTGCATCACATAACCAGAGATTCGAAACTGGGTAAAATATTTCATACGGTTTCTAGAGATCTTGATAAATTGAAAGCGAATATAATTTAAACGAATCCAATATTTTTATGAAAAGGTTATTCTTTATGTCACTGGTATTATGCTATACTAGCGAAATAACCTTCCGATAAGACATTGGTATATCGAATATTGCTAACATACAGAGCATGAGACTTTGTAAACAAATTCTGTGCTTTTCAAAATATTAATATTGTTCGGACCAATCAAAATATGGAATAAATGCTTTTTAATTGTCGTCGTGTCTTTCCGGAATCTAATTATAATTGTGCGTCTCGCAACACTTAGACGTCTCGTTTGAAATCGAATCATAGCAACAGATTCTTTGCTAATCCTTATTTATCGATATATTTCCCTTTATGTCCAAGTTCCGTGATTTCGTGTGGTGATCAAACTGGGAGAACAATGCTGCATAAATTAAAGCAATCAGCAAAAACGATATTCGTGCCAATTATAAATTGTGCGTTTTGCAAGTGTGCTTTTCCAAAAACGCTTATTTATATAAGAGAAACAGAAAAGAAAATTAAGAGGTAAAAAAAATTTTATTAATAGAAGAGTCGAACATGTTAAATGTTGTCTTACCCGCATTTTTACAATTATAAATCAACTAATTAAAAGCAATATTGGCATTAAAAGGTTTTATTTGCGCGGTATTGTTTATTGTTTTGGCTTTGAATCATTGACATGACAATGCTTCTGAACACAAATGATACCGGCAGCACTGGCTTTAATATTGCCAAGTAGTCATAAAAAATAATTCAAACAGGCTACGCATTCAAAAGCATCGAAATAACGTAATAGAAGTCTACCTTTTTTTTTGTCTTATCGTTTGTAACTATAACACAGTGAGTACGTTTGCCAGTTTGATTAAGGACACTCGGATTCAAAATTCATTGCCTGTTCTCGGTTGTCGCGATGCAAAAATTTAATTCCTCCAGTACTGGTAAATCGCTTCAACAGTGGTATGAATTTTGATTGTGAAAGTTCGTAGCAGTAAATGACCCTTATGTTAATAAATGTAAGCATTGTTTGTAAAGCATTGTTGATGAAACTGTTAGAACGCTTATTTATTATTATTTTGACATCTTGAAAACCAGTTTCTTGTGAAATAAATTGATAATAATCCTTTGTATACTTGTTAGTCAGTCGTGAGTTATAATAGAGAATACGAGCTTTGTAAATCAAAAATTAATCCAACTTGCCGAAAGTTCGGTTTGTAGAATACTCTTTTGACTTGGAACATTGGTTATGGGATCGATTAGTTTGATATATAACCTGATGAGAATAAACGTGCGACTGTCTAATGTCTTGTTAAATGAAATCTGTTCTAATATTTATTTTTGATGA